TGGGGGAAAAAGGCTACAACTCTCCATTCTATCCAGGCGTCTCATAATTTTGTAAACTTCTACTAGGTCATCCTTCATCCCTCATCCTTCAAGTGAAACCAAACCAAGTTTGACCAATCTCTCCTCATAGCTACTACCCTACAAACCAGGCAACATCTTATAGATCGTTTCTGAATCCTCCCCAAAGTCTCCAACGTTGGCTATTCTCCAGACCTCTGGGACCTCACCGGTGGCTAAAGAGATTTGTGCAAGGCCCTATGCAATTTCCTCCCCTGTCTCCCTCTGCATTCTGGGATAGATTTCATCACAGCCTGGGGATTTGTCTACCTTCATGTACCTAACACCACCTCCATTTTCATATTCACATGCCCGAGAATATCAACATAGCCCCCATAAAACTCACCAACCATCACTTACTTCTCCTTTGTGAATGCCAACAAAGTACTCATTAAGGATTTTACCCACTTTCTCCAGGTCCACACATAAATTCCCTCCTTTATCCTTTAGTTGTCTTACCCTTCCCCTAGCTTTCTCTCTTGCTCCTTATAGATGTTGCAAACACTTTGGGATTTTCCTTAATCCCATTTGCAAGAGATATTTGATCGTACATTTTAGCCCTCCTAACTCCTTGTTTGAGTTCTTTCCTGCTTTGTATTCTTTAAGTGCTCTATCTGTCTTCAGTTACCTAATCCTTACGTATACCTCCTTTTTCTTTTTGACTAAGCACTCAATTTCTCGTCATCTAAGGTTCCCACATCTTGCCATCCTTATCCTTCATTTTCACAGGGACATGCTGGTCCTGAACTCTAATCAACTGGCCTTTGAAAGATTCCCACATGCCAGATGTGGATTTACCCTCAAACAGCTGCTCCTCATCTCCATTCCCAGTTCCTACCCAATATTGTGGTAGTTAGCATTCCCCCAGTTTAATACTTTCACCTAAGGACTACTCTTATCTTTATGTATAAGCAACGTAAAACTTATGGAATTATGGTCATTGTTCCCAAAATGATTCTCCTCTGAAACTTCGATCACCTAGTTGGGCTCATTCCCCAATACCAGGTCCAGCCCTTCCCAAGTTGGGTTATTTATATATTATTTCAATAAACTATCTTGGGCACACTTAACAAATGTCTCCAATCCAAGCTCTTGGCACTGAGCGAGTCCCAGTCAATACAGGGCAAGTTAAAATCATCCACAACAGCCCTGTTAGTTTTACATTTTTCCATAATCTGTCTACATATCAGTTCCTCTATCACCCGCTGGCTGTTAGGAGTCCTGTAGTACAATCCCAAAGTGATTACACCCTTCCTACTCCTAAGCACTACCCATATGACCTCACTGGATGAACCTCCAAGATGCCCTCTCACTGTACAGCTGTGATATTCACCCTTATCAGTAACACAACTCCCCAACTCGTTTACATCCCGCTCCATCTCGCCTGAAACATCCAAATCTCAGAACATTAAGCCGCCAGTCTTGTCCCCCTCTCAACCAAGTCTCTGATGTTGTAGCAATTACATAGTTATATGTATTAATCCAAGCTCTAAACTCATCTGCCTTACATGTCATACTCTTTCTGTTAAAACAAATACACCTCAGACCGGGGGGGGGGTCCTGCCATGTTCAGTAACCTCCCCTGCCTGTTCTTCCTCTTAGTCTTACAGGCCTTAGTCTCAGACCCTTCTTTGGTCATTTTACTTGCTGACCTATTGCTCTGGTTCCCACACTCCCCCGGCCACATCAGTTTAAACCTTCCTGAGTGTCACTAGCAAACCTCCATGCCAGGATATTGGTGCCCTTTCAATTTAGGTACAACCCGTCCTCTTGTACAGGTCCCACCCGCCCCAGAAGACATCCCAATGATCCGGATATCTAAATCCCTCCCTCCTACGCCAGCTCTTTAGCCAAATAGTTAACTGTACTATCTTCCTACTTCTAGCCTCACTGGCATGTGGAACAGGAAGTAATCCTGAGATTACAAGCCTATAGGTCCTGCTTTTCAACTTCCTACCTGACTCCCTGAACTCCTTATGCAGGACCTCATCTCTCTTTCTGCCCCTGTCGTTGGTACCAATATGGACCATAACCTCTGGCTGCTCACCCTCCCCTTTCAGAATATCCTGTGCCTGCTCAGAGACATCCTTCATCCTGGCACCAGGGAGGCAACACACCATCCTGGAGTCTCGCTTGCAGCCACAGAAACGTCTGTGCCCCTGACTATAGTGCCCCTGTCATTACAGCTCATCAATACTTCGACCCTCCCTACTGTACAACAATGCCAGTTGTGGTGCCACTGATCTGGCTGCTGCTGTTTTCCCCATGTGAGGCCATTCTCCCACCACAGTATCCCGAGTCGAGAGGATAATGGTCACAGGGGACTCCTGCACTACCTGCCCATGCTTACTCCTCTTCTTGGTGGACACCCAACTCTTCTCAGTCTGTGTCGCCCTTACTAGCGGGATAACCAGCTCGCTAAGCATACTATCCACAACATTCTCAGCCTTATGGATGCTCCATAGCAAGTCCACCCGTAGCTCCCGATGTAGCAAATCAGGAGCTGGAACTGAACACTTCCTGCATACATAGCCTCCACGGAGACCGGACGGATCCTGATTTCCCACATATTGCAGGAGGAGCACCCTGTAGGGCTGAGTACGCCTGCCATTTTGAACTTTATCGACTAAATCAACCTTGTTCTTGTCAATGTGGCCATCACAGGCATGGGATTTTGTGTATCCTGTGACTGCAATGGTCTATCTTCGCAGTAAACCATATCAGATCGGCCATGATCTCCGTGAATGGCACAGCAGACTCGATGGGCTGAACAGCCTATTTCTGCTCCGACGTCTTATGGTCTAAACCACCAGCAGCAGTTTGATATGACTTGACTGGCTTGCTAAGTGACAGAGGGCAGTTAAAGGTCAATCACGTCAGTGCGGATTTGGAGTCACATACGGACCATACCAGGTAAGGGCTAGCTGCTTTGCTTCCACCAGGAGGTTTGAACTCTGGGAGTCATTTCCCAGATAGAATATCTGTCTTACATCTGAGTGGTAACATCAAGTTTCACATCAAGGTCAGTGGCAACAAACAACATCAAGCATCCGTCCTGGGAGGCAAGGACTGCTCGCATCCGACCCACAGCCTGAGGGGTTATCCCCAAAGTATTCGATAGGAAATAGAAACAAACTCTGAAATGCAAACTCTTCCATCACACCACAGTAAACTGATTCAGCAACACACTACATCGACACATACAGCTCATATGGACAAGCTCATGTGAACAAGGGTCGGTTTCTGTGCTGCATGACTCTATCCAGTTTGCCTCACGCCACTGCTCTAGCCCTGAAAACGCTTCCCTTTGGAATACAAACCCAATCCTCTTTCCAAGTTACTGTTCAATAAGGTTTGCCGCTCTTTCAGTCAGTTTATTCCAGATCAGAACTCACCACATCAAAACGTTCTCATCCGCTCTGCAGATGTTTGGTCCATGATTTTACATCAGTGTCCTCTGGTTACTGACTAAGCTGCCAATGAAAACAATTTCTCCCCATACATTTGCTTCTAAATGTGTATTATTTTTAAGTGTATTAAAATACACAAATGCAGACACACGCACAAAGTTAGTTCCCTTTTGCAAGTTACTATTTCCCCTCTTGTTTTTTTTCCTATTAAAATCCCTCATGATCTTGACTACCTCTGTTGGAGTTCCCCTTATTGTTCCCTGCTGTGGAATGTTCCCAACTTTTGAGTCTCTCCGCATTATTCGTGTTCTTCATGTTTGGTACCTTTTCAGTAAATCTTCACTGTATCATTCTCCCAAGAGTGAATGTATTGGACAGCTGTGGCCACAACAGTTCGGAGCAACCACTGAGTAAGTCAATCCCAGAATTTCCCAATGTTTTCTAAACGTACTCAACTGTTGAGCACATTTACCCATTTGCTCGAACAGCAATAAATTCCGCACTTAGATTTCACCTACATATCACACCCCATCTCAATGGCAGCTGGCTTTCGATTAAAAACAGAGTCTGTTTCACACCTAGGAATATTCTTTGAATAAAGTGTGCAAAAAAAAAACAAATGCTCGTTTTAGAGAGAATGCCCAACACTACCACACATCTTCCTTTATCATTAACTAACACAAACATACACACACACTTTCTCAACTAATTAACAGTGATTTGACTTGGCCAGTTCAGTAATGCAGACTTTGAGAACGGATTTAGAATGCAATGGATTGATGACAAGATTAGTGCAAAGGTATTTGCCAGTACTTATGACAAGTTTGGTTCAAGATGATGTCTATTACAAAACAGGAATGTTCAATGTAGCAGCACTGGAACAGATCATGTACTTGACTTACTTAAAGTCAATTATCATTATAGAGTCATACAGCATGGACACAGACCCTTCAGTCCAACTTGTCCATGCCGACCAAGTCTCTCAAACTAAACTAGTCCCACTTTCCTGCATTTAGCCCATATCCCTCTAAACCTTTCCTATTCATGTACCTGTCCAAATGTCTTCTAAATGATTGTACCTGCATCTACCACTTCCTCTGGCAGTTCATTACACATATGAACCACCCTGTGTGAGAAAACGGTGTCCCTCAGGTCCCTTTTAAATCTTTCTCCTCTCACCTTCATAGTTCTGAACACCCCCACCTTAAGGAAAAGACATTTGCTACTCACCTTATCTATGTCCCTTGTAGAACTCTAGTTACTTACTATTGATAAAACCTAGAACAAGATCAATTTTTGGCAGAAGATGTTACAATATCAGAGCTTAGGAACTGGGTAGAGACGTTTAATGCTCTCCCCAAAACATGAGGGTGGAATAATCTTTACACTGCACTCTCCCATGCAATGGTCTCAGAATTGCTAGGTTTTAACTACTATTTTTCAAGGTGGTTCAAGGTAAAATGCATAACCAAATGAATCACCATCAGCACTACTACAGAGGTGAGGTGAAGGGACTAAGTGACAGTACAGTACCTTCTGGAAGAAGTCTTCACCACTTTTGCCTTTCCCTTCAGCAGCAGCTGTAAAACAAACATTTGGGGTTAAATAAATTCAGCTAAATATTTCATTCAACTCAAAAGAACAAGGGCAGGAGCAAATATTAAACTTGGCAATCTGCAATTAGTTAGAACCCTGTATCAAAAAACTAAGGGCTGTTCTCCTGCCCTCTGCCCCATCATCAGCATCATCATGAAAATCACATGATCACTCAATCAAAACATCACTGGAAGCCTGATCTGACCAGATCAAGCAAAACGTGTAATTTTACACAGATATTTTCCTTCAACATTTTCCCAATGGACTGTTACACCTCCGCTCCTCTCCCCGTACGCGCCCACTCCTCTCCACGTACTCCCTACACATGCCCGCTCCTCTCTGCGTACCCGTTGTACACACACGGCCCTCCCCACTACTGGTACTCCCAAACCTTCAACCCCACACTGTAAAAGGTAGTGGAGTGCATGTAGACCTCAGTGTGTGAACCTGGGAGGGCTTTTTTTTAAATATTCATTCACGGGATGAGGGCGTCGCTGGCCAGGCAGCATTTATTGCCCATCCCTAATTGCCCAGAGGGCAGTTCAGAGTCAACCACATTGCTGTGGGTCTGGAGTCACATGTAGGCCTGACCAGGTAAGGATGCAGTTTTTTTCTTTAAAAAGAACATTACTGAACCAGATGGCTTTTCCCCGACACTCAGCAATGGTTTCATGATCATTATTAAACTCTTAATTCCAGATTATTACTGAATTCAAATTCCACCATCTGCTGTGGTGGGATTCGATCCCAGGTCCCCAGACATTACCTGGGTCTCTGGATTAATGGTCCAGCAATAATGCCACGAGGCCATTGCCTCCCACTTCGATGCAGTTGATACAATCATATCTGGAGCCCTGGATTAACTGAAGTGAGCTTAGCAAATTGCCACGGATTCCATTCTTCCGCACCAACCCTGACCCCCACCCTACCCTTGCTCAGAGTGTCTGGGTGAACAACTTGAGGCTACTGCACTCTGGTATTTCTGCCACCCTCACTGTTTTAGCTGGCACTCAGAGGCAGTCCCCTCAGAATATGAGTGAGTGGGCTTTGGAGAGGGAGGGGTTCAAGAACAATTTTAACCATGGAAGTTGGGGTGGGGTGCATTGGGAAGGAGGCAATGAGAAGCAATACCCTGAGAAAGAAGAATTTTTTAAAATAAAAAAACAGGGCAGTAGGGCTTGTGCTTAGCTCAGGAATGTTATATAATGGGAGGTGAATAGGAAATGAGCTGCTACATTGGAATTCTACACTTGGATCAAATATCTGTTTATTTGAGCTCAACCGAACACGTCCATTTAAAATGTAACATGCTCCCCAAGCAAACTTGAGGCCAGGCTGCTCTACACTGTCAGCAGCTAAAACATTCAGAATAGTTTTGCTTTGAGCTGGACTGATCTTGTAGATAATGACAGACAAGAGCAGACCCTCGGAATCCGTGCAGGCCGCCCCATGCACACAATTCCGGAGAGTTCTGCAGAAATTTGGAGGGCGGATTCGGAAAAACGAGGATTTCTACTTTTTTTTTGTTCCATTTGGCTCCAAGTCAAAAGAGTGCCAACTGGCTCCCAGGAAAAGCCTAAAGATCAGGCAAACAGCATTAACTCTCAGACCCCCAAGCAAGAGCTCTCCGTCTGTGCCAGCTCTTCACAAGTCAAAAAGCATTTCGGGCAGCATCGTTTCCAAAACTTGACTCTCTTTGGAGACCGCAAAGTATGCCCAAAAGGCCTGCCTGCTGAGGAGGAGGGATGAAGTGCAAGGAAAAGTTGGGGTCAATTGAATAAGTCTGCGAGGTAAAGGGCCAGGCTTTCACCCAGTGAGAAAAGGAGCCCATTGCTCCCACATGATTCCAGAATGAACCAAACTGAAATAGACCCTGTGCAAATGTCTGTGTTAACAGCTACTGCCGCCCATCCGTGATCAAATTCTGCTCACGTCACCTCTTGAACCCCTTTAGTTACACCAATTTCCAGCTTGAAACTAGAAACATAGAAAAGAGGAGGAATAGTAGGCCATTTGGCCCTTCCAGCCTCTCGATCGCAACTTTATACAAATTATGGGGCCAAGAACCTTTCCAATAGTGCCTGGCATCAGAGCAGAAGTCTGGAGGAGAGATCGGGGTCTTGGTAGACTCCAGCTTAGACTGACTGCTAATACAGCAAGGATAAGTATTTACAGTGAAAAGTGCTGTAAAACTAAATTGTTTTTAACCTGTGCAGTGTGAACAAGGCTCTCCTTTGGTCTGTCTTAACAGATCCCAAATATTATTCTTTGCACCTGCATTCCATTTCATACACGCACATCATCAGAATGGCTACTAACGTTGATGCGTACTTTTGAACGGGCTAAAAAATCTCAAAGCACTTGTGTCAGAGCATTTCCAACATTTGATGTGGAAACACAGTAGATAGGTCAAAAAGGCAGGCATAAGGAATGCCAAGGAAGCAGGGGATACAGCGAGAGAAAGTGGGGCGGGGGTGGGGTAGAAAGAGATGGAGCGAGAGAAAAGGGAGGGTGGGGTTACAGCGAGAAAGAAGCACAGAGGGTTTGGGGGTAATTTCAGAGTTTAAGGTGCAGAGAATGAAAGGCTGGGTCACTAATAATGCTGCAATAAAAGTCGGGGTGTGCAAGAAACAAAAACTGGAAGAAATCAGAGATGTAGGAGGGTCACGGGGCTGGAGGAGAACAGGGATAGGGAGGTTTGGAACGTTGCAGGATTTGAAAATAAATGAATATTTTTTAAATTAAATGTATTGCGATATAGGAGCAGGAACCACGGCTATAAAATTTTCCAGCTTTACGTCTTCATCGTCTCTCTCTCTCTCTCTGGAAGGACGATTTCAGCAGGAAATCAATCGAGTGCATCTTCTTACATGTATTTGGCTAATGGGTGTTAATTTACGTCCCTGTAACTTGGAGCAAGCTGAAATGTAGTGATGGGGTTAGAAAAGGCTGTTTGTCTTTGCAAGTTAAAACCAGTAAAAAGCGTATAAAGATTGGGTCCAGATCTATCCTTCAACACTGGGCTTACAGGAGCCAAGGAAACTATTCCTGAACTTTAGACGCACCAATTTAAGTTGGGCAAAGTGAGCTGACGCAGCCTGTCCTTTTCGGTCTTCTCACTACTACCTTCATCAAGAGCTTCATAGATATTGACAGAAACTGGAACCATAGAATCATAGATTCTTACTGTAATGAAGAGACCCTTCAGCCCATTGAGTCTGCACTGACCAAAATCTCTGAATCAACACTAGTTCCACTTTCCAGCATGTGGCCCACATCCTTGAATGTTATGACATTCCTAGTGCTCATCCAGGTTCTTATTCAAAGGTTGTGAGATTATTTGCCTCTCCTACCCTCCCAGGCAGTGTATTCAGATTCCCACCATCCTCTGGGTGGGAGAGAAAAAATTTTCCTCAAATCCCCTCAAAACCTCTTGTGCTTCATTGTTAGTGACCCCTCAACTCAGGGACAGCTCCTTCCTATTCATCCTGTCCATGTCCCTCATATTCTTATACATCTCAACCAGATCGCCCCTCCACCTTCTCCGCTCTACAGAAAACAACATGAGCTTATCCAGAGATAACAAGACCTGCAGATTCTGGAGTGTGGAGCTGGAGGAACACAGCAGGCCAGGAAGCATCAGAGGAGCAGGAAAGCTGACGTTTCGGGTCGGGACCCTTCTTCCAGCCTCTCTGCACAGCTGAAGTTCTCCATCACAGGCAACATCCTGGTGAATGTCCTTTGCACCCCCTCCAGTGCAATCACATCCTTTCAATTGTGCGGTGACCAGAAGTGCACACAGTATTCTAGCTGTGGCCCAATCAAAGTCCTGTACAGCTCCAGCATAACCTCTCTGCTCTTATAACTGCTAAAGGCACAGGTATGCCTTTCTAATGATCCTAATCAACTGCCCTGCTACCTTCAGGGATTTGTGGACAAGCACCCCAAGATCCCTCTGAGCTTCTTAGAACATAAGTAATTTATTGTCACTTGCAGTTGTTTCTTTACAAAGAAAATGCAGCGACAACTGTTTAAATTGTCATACCACAGCACCTATACTAATAATAGAAAGCATAGATTAAAAAAAACTTTTAAAATTTAAGACAAAGTCCATCTTAGTTCAATTCACGGCTCCTGGATTCGGGAAAAGACAGTTTCGCTGCAGAAAGCTGCCAAAGATGGTGCTGGAATTCCGAGCTGCAAGACTCCACAGAATTCCTAAGCCTCACCGATCCTGGGCCAGAATGCATCGCGGAAGCTGCCTACAGGAAGTGCCCTGCCATTCATTGGAAGAAGGAATAAGGAAGGAATAAGACAAGGGAGTATTCAAAGTGCATCATCCCTCACTTTTCAGGATTAAATTCTATCAGATAATGATCTGTCTATCTGACCTATCTGTCTATACCTTCCTGTAACCCAGGACCTTCTTCCTCACTGTCAATCACTCGGCTCATTTTTGTGTCATATGAAAAATTACTTATCATCCATCTCTTTCCCACAACCTCACACTTTCTTCTATCATCTTTTATGTATATCATGAACAATAAAGGGATCCAGCACTGATCCCTGTGGTATGCCACTGGACACCGGTCTCCAGTCACATGAACAGCCTCTACCACCACCCTCCGTTTCCTACCACTTAAGCCAGTTTTGGATCCGACTTGTCAAGTTACCCCAGATCCTATTTGGCTTTACCTTCTTGGACAAAGATTTTGCTGTAAACTGCATCAACTGCACCAACTGCACTGCCCTCAGCTACGCACATTATCACCTCCTCAAAAAATTCAAGCCAATTCCAGGCTGACTCTCCCTGAAATTGGGATTGGTGAGATTTTTGTTTCAAGAGTTGATTCTTGGAGCTTGGACATCACTGGCAAGGCTGGGGCCTGCTGCTCACTTTTTAGTGTCTTGCAAAGTTGAAAGTTGATTAAATTTTTAAACTGCTGGCAATGGCTCGATACAACGGAGTGATTTTAATGGGCCA